CTCTCTCTCTCTCTCTCTCTCTCTCTCTCTGATAAAATGTTTAAATATGTTGTTTTAATTATAATAATTATGTTTTATAGTCCAACGTCTATCACGCCTACCAAATAATTAAAGCCCATGGAATACCGGAATCTAACATAGTGGTAATGCACTATGATGATCTGGCTCAAAATAAAGCAAATCCCACACCAGGCGTAGTGGTGAACACCCTAGGTGGTCCCGATGTCTACAAAGGTGTGCCCAAAGATTATACTGGCACCGAGGTCACTCCCGAGGCAAGTAGTGTTTATTTAATTTAAGCAAATTACATTATATTTTTAATTAATTTATTATTGTTTTACAATTACAGAACTTTTTAGCCGTTTTGAAAGGCGATAAAAATTTGGCCCAAAATGGTAAAAAAGTTGTCAACAGCGGACCCAACGATCACATCTATGTCTACTTCATTGATCATGGAGCACCAGGTTAGTTTGATAATTTAATTAATTTACTCAATTATAATAAACTAATCAAAACAATAATTATAATTATCTAGATCTAATTGCGTTCCCGCACAAGTATCTCTACAGTAAGGATTTAAACGGTGCGTTCAAAGAAATGCACCAGGCCAAAAAATACGCCAAACTCGTGGTAAACATCGAGGCCTGTAATTCAGGCTCAATGTTTGAGAAACCGCTGCCCAAAGACATCAATGTTTACGTCACCACTTCGGCCAACCCTCAGGAGTCCAGCTATGCTAAGGACTACGACAATCTCCGTCACACTTATCTAGGTATAAATTAATAACTTTTAATTAAATAATCAGCAATTTTAATATCATAACTAAATAACATAAGTATAATAGCTCAATTTTTATAATTTATTTTAATTACTAGTTATTTGCTATATTTAGCTATTTAATAGTTTTAATTAGATAGTGTGTAATAATTGTTACTTTCTATTTGCTATACTTATAATGTTTTGCGTTTACACTAATTTAGGTGACTATTACAGCGGTGCCTGGTTGGAGGTGATTGAAAAACAGGATTTGACCAAGGAGACTCTTGAACAGTCTTACAAATATACCGTGAGCTCTCAAAATAAGTCACACCCGCAACAGTACGGCACATTGGCCATTAATAAATTAACTGTTTCTCAATTTTTGGGTTAGTAAACTAGTCAATAACAATTTCAATTATGTTATTAATTTTGTTGTGTAAATATAAATGAGCAGGATCCAAAAAGACAGTTAATGCCTACAAAGCACCCAACACTGGCCTTAATGATGCAGTTAGCAGCCGAGATGTCCCGATTGCCCTTGCTCAAAAACTTGTTGAGTCAACAGATGACCTAGGCCAGAAACAAGAGTATGCATTGTTATTAACAATCATTTAATTATAATTAAATAATAAATAATATAAACTTAATTAATACTTTCTCCACAATAGATATGTGGCTGAATTGCAGCGACTATTGACTGGCCGTCAATATATGGACAAACATATCGCACAATACGTGCAAAGCGTTCAACACATGCTTACTGTTAACACCGATGCTATACTTAACGGCAAACACGCCGTAAACAACGCTGAATGCTATCACAAGTTTGTGGACACTTTTGACCAACAGTGTTTCAATATCAATCAGGTAAATTACATTTATTATAAATTAAATGTTCATCTTATTTATACCTTGTTTCTACTTAAAACATAGAACACTTATGCGTTCGGAAAACTGCAAGTATTCGTGAATGTTTGCGAACAACTGCGCGAACCGAGCGATGCGAACATTGTTGTCGACCATTTGGTACAATACTGTAACGACAATGTGTCCCATAATAACATGTCTATTGAATAAAGTGATATAATCTATGTTAAAGCAATTACAATAATTGTAATTATTATAATAATTTAAGTTTTATATATTATAAAACTTAGATATTTATGATATAATATAACAATCAAATTAAAGCCATTGATATTTGCAATAAAAACTAATAATTTTTGAATTAAATAATTGATAATTGTCATTAACATTCTGTTGACAATAGAGTATAAGTAATTGATTACAGGTTTATATTATAGATATAACCAAGATATACCAAATTATAATTAATTACAAAAATAGGGCTATTTGTAATTACAAATATATATTTATTTAAATGTGCTGTTAAAATAAACAAACATAATGATACGTTGACAATGTAATAATTTAATAAATTTTAGAATTTGGGGCAATAATTTTTAGGAGACATAATTAGCCATGTAGTCTACCATCATATTTAAAAGATAAAATTTTAACATCATCGTCTTTCTTGCTAGGTCGATCAGCGCACCAATATGGTACTTTTTCACTGGGTTCATAACGGCACATCTTGGGCAACAAACATAGGGGTTTAAGTTTTGCGCATTCCTGTTCGGCTTGTCCTGGTCGCAACGACACACTTTTATTATACCACACCTCGATTTCTTGTTTTTTATTTTTACCAGATTTACTTTTGTGTTGTTTTGTTGGCTGTAAAGATATTAAATTATCAAATTAGAGAGTTGTAAATTTTTTTACCTCGGCTGCGTTGGGTGCTTTGCGCGCCTTGGCATCGTCGGCTTTTTTGGCCGTTTGTGATAGACTCTCGTGTATAAACACGGACATTATATATGGCGACCAGTACGATAAAAAGCGATATTTTAATAGCCATGATTATGATTATGGTCTATTAATTAACTCGCTTAAACCACTTGAAATAGTTTATTATATGCAATTAATTGTAATGCTTGTGATTTGAATTAATGGCACTATTTTAATTAAAATTTATTAATTATGTTTAATTATTTTAAAATAACATATTTGATATAAAACATAAATCACGATACAACGCAACCTCTTTATTAGCAACGTTCAACTGTACTGCAAAATTATTTCTTATAAAAAGTATTTCTCCAAAAAGGTTACATTACATAACATTATAAGAATAAGAAATCAAACAAATATTTCAATTTCGTTCTTTAAAAAGAAGGGTTCATCCAATTTAAATTGCCCTATAATAAGTGGTACTTTAATAAAAGCCATGTTTTGTTTACACATTTACACAACTTATTTATAAAATAAATTAAATATATAAAGTTGTAATTATAATAGTTATTTCTTATAGTTTAACGTATAACAGGATTTCCAAATAATTAAACTCATGGAATACAGGAATCAAACATCTTTGTATAAACTTATAATACACTATATTGAGCTGGATAATAATAAACAAAATCCTATACTATACATAATGGTGAACATCCTAGTTGGTCCCGATATCTATGAAGGCTTGCGCAAACATTACACGGGTGATTAGGTCACTCCAGATTTAAGTATATTTTTTTGTTATCTATACAAAATAAATCATTTTTATAATTAAACATTAAATTCTGATTGTTTATAATTACAGAACTATTTAGCCGTTTTGAAAAGCGATATAAGTTTGGCTTAAAATGGTAAAAAAGTTGTCAACAGCGGACCCAAAGATCACATCAATGCCAATTTCATTAATCATGGAGCACCAGGTTAGTTTTACAATTTAATTAATTTACTTAAGATTTAGTATTCATAAATTAATTCTAAAAAAACATTATAATTACCTAGATCTTATTGCGTTTCCGCACAAATACCTGTACAGTAAGGATTTGAACGGTGCGTTTAAAGAAATGCACCAGGCTAAAAAATACGCCAAATATGTAGTAAACACTGCAATTCAGGCTTGATGTTTGATAAAGCCCTGCTCACAAACATCAATATTTATGTGACCACTTCTGACAACCCTAATGAGTTTAGCTATCCCAAAAACTACAACAATCTTCGTCACACTTATCTAGGTATAACCCAATAAGTTTTAATTAAGTCATTAATATTTTTAATATTATTATTAAGTAACATTAGTTAAATGGTTAAAATTCTAAAATTTATTTTTATTTAATTGTTATGTATTTTAATTACTATTCAATTGCTATAATTCATTAATGAATAATTTTAATTAGATAGTTTGTCAAAATTCTTAATGTTTATTTGCAATACTTATGATTTTACACTATTTTAGGCGACTATTACAGCGGTGCCTTCTTGGAGGTGATTGAAAAACAGGATTTGACCAAGGAGACTATTGCACAGTCTTACAAATATACCGTAAGCTCCTAAAATAAGTTGCACCCGCAATAGTACGGAACATTGGCCATTAATAAATTAACTGTTTATCAATTTTTTGGTTAGTAAACTTGCTCGTTATAATTTTTAATGTTTCATAATCATGTTTCTAATTATAAATTATCAGGATTTAAAAAGACAGTTAATGCCTACAAAGCACCCAACACTGGCCTTAATGATGCTGTTAGCAGCCGAGATGTCCCAATTGCTCTTGTTCAAAAACTTGTTGAGTCAACAGACGATCTTGATCAGAAACAACTGTATGTATTGTTATTAACAATTATTAATAACAATAATAATTAAACTTAATATAATTATAAACTTATTTAAATAATTTATACCACAATAGATATGTGGCTGAATTGCAGCGACTATTGACTGTAGGGTGACCAGAACGTCCTTTTTTATGGGGTTTGTCCTTTTTTTGACCTCTGAAAACAGAGTAAAGAAGGACGCGTCCTTTTTTGAATTTTAGTAATTTCAATATAAAATGTTAATATGCTTTAAAATATGGGAAATATCATTGATTGCTATGCATTGTAGATCTGTAAAGCTGTAAAGTTGAGACATTACAGCACACAAACAGTAAATAATAATAATAGAGTAGAAATATAATTAAGAATGTTGTAATTGTTAACAGAAAACTATTTTAAAAATCAAATAATTTTGTTTGTTAAAAGTGTTCTCATTTAAATATTCATCTAAAATGTGTGACAAAACAAACGAAAATTCGTATGGTTAAAAAAATTTTGCGTTTTTTTGTGTCCTTTTTTAATGACTATTTTATATCAGTCGTCCTTTTTTAAGAGGATTTTTGGTGGTCACCCTAATTGACTGGCCGTCAATATATGGACAAACATATCGCACAATACGTGCAGAGCGTTGAACACATGCTTACTGTTAACACCGATGCTATACTCAACGGCAAACACACCGTAAACAACGCTGAATGCTATCACAAGTTTGTGGACACTTTTGATCAAGAGTGTTTCAATATTAATCAAGTAAATCAGATTTATCATAATTAATTAATTAATTAATTAATTCTTAATATCATGTTTGTATTTAATCTATAGAATACTTATGCGTTTGATAAACTTCAAGTGTTTGTGAATGTTTGCGAACAACTGCGCGAACCGAGCGATGCGAACATTGTTGTCGACCGTTTGGTACAATACTGTAACGACAATGTGTCCCATATTAACATGTCTATTGAATAAAGTGATATAATCTATAATAGAACAATGACACTTATTATAATTTAAATTTAATGTAATTTAAAACTAAGATATTTATCATATAATATAAGTATAAAATTTTTAACAATTTTAATACGTTTTATTTGAAATAAAAATTGAAACTTAATAATTGTTAGATTAAATGATTGATATTTGTTAACAACTTTGATGACATTCTGTTATCAATAATTTATAAATACAGTGCAACTTCTCTAAGGTAAATTTCTCTTGAATGAACACCTCCTTTGAATGAACGGATTTGAAATATATTTTGGATTTTCTCTACTTATAACAGAACCTCCCCGTTAAATGATACCTCCCTATAATAAACACTTTGGTCGCGCGACTGACCGTTCATTATAGAAAAATTTTACTATAATTGATTACAAGATTAAATCATAAATATCATCAAGATTTACCAAATTATTGTTAATTACTAATCGTGCCTCTCGGTATTGGCTCATTACTGAATCTTACGTGAATTAATAGATATTAATAAAACAATAAAACTTAATCAAAATTTAGTTTATTATGTTTTAAAACAGAAGCAGATAATTATATTAATCTTTACGAACATGATAAAAGAGATAATAAATTTAACAAAAAAAAACAAATTTATTAAATTTAGTTTGTTGTTGGACCAAGTATACCATCTAAAGTAGTTTGTCCTGAAGATTGTTAGTGTTGATTATCCGATAACTGATTGTTGCCAACACCGCGACCACCCTTGTCTCCTCGATTCTTATAATTTGATCGGGATCTTTGTTGACCACGTGGCCCACTTTTGTTGCCTCCACCACGACCACCACCACCCGATCTTTGTTCATTTATATTGTCTCTTCCGCCACGACTACGTCCATGACTATCGTCCTGTGTTTTACCACCAGATCCACGATGTTTGCCACCACCACCGCCGCCCGATTTTCCTCCTTGCTCATTATCGTGTGGTTTGTCATCACCCGGATTATGATTGTTGCCACCACTACCACCATCACCACGACCACCATCAGCATGGTGATTATCATGGCTAGAGTGTGGCTGAGAATCACCCAAATCAGGCGCCTCCGGTTGATGATCCGACCCTGATGGCTTATCATGTCCTGATTCGTGGCCTGAATCGTGTCCCCCGACTCTCCCCGTAGGTTAAAATCAGCTTTCTCAAACATAATTGGTAAGCTCAATACACCTTCCTCATTAGCAGCGCATTGAGGAGTGGAAGCATCAATATAGCATATGTTGGCGCAATTACTGGTGGCGCACATTCGCTGAGCTTCGTCCATTGTTTTAATTGTGCTAACTTCCTTATTCAGCCAAACTCGTTTGGGTAATTCTTGGCGTGGTAAGTTGAGATTATTACTTTGTTCCTCACCGTCTTGACGGGTGCCACGATCACGTGATTGGACTTCTGACACGGTCGCCGCCGCGATCACCACCATGATTGTTATAGATATCGCTAATTTAATTGCCATATTAATAGTGAACAATCTATGACAAGCACTTATAATTATGCACAGTTACTTTATTCAAAATGATTCAAAATGTGTTATAACTTATAAGTGATATAGCTTATCTTTATTTCAAAAAATGTCAGTTTTGTTAATTAAAATACTTCACATATGTTCAGTTGATTTTAAGAAAATATATTTAATTTTATTTATTTAATTTGATATATTATTTTTAAATAATGTAATACATTTTTATACAATATTTTTATGTTTGCACATATAAGATTATTGTCTCAAAAATCTTTAAATATAACTTTAATATCAAAACATATAATTTTGTTATGTTAATAAATTTTGCTTTCAACAATTATATTTACATAAATCGTGTTTAGACATCATACTGGTTAACACATTAATAGTAAGTAAATTAATATTTTGATCAACAGAATTATTAACAATTTTTAAAAATGAAATTTAATTAATTTTGTTGATTATTAGAACTAACATAGCAAACGCATCATGATTAGTAAAATAAACAAATACATGATTATATTAATAGATCAACCACCTATAACTCTAGACGCTTAAACTTGGAAATTAGTTTCCCATTTGTACTTTGAATTATAATTAAAAATCAATGAAGAGTGTTAGCTATAAACAAATTCAGTAATGCCTCACAACTAGTTGGATTTAAAAATTTGTTAAATTATATAATCATAACTTATATGATTATTAAGTTATCATGGTTAGATTAAAGTTTTGAATATTATTCTCCCAGTTTATGCGCAATGCAACTTTTTCATACAGTATAAATAGTGCTAATTTTAATCTGCACTTATTGCATAAACTGGGATATTTACCTTCCTATAGTGTTGTTCTACGAGAAATAAAGTTACGTTACGCGTATACTGGCCTATAAATAGTTAAAATGTTGATTTAATTATAATTTGAATTAATTTTAATCACTAAAAATTTACAAATATTTAAATATTAGTATTCTTGAGGCATTCCTGGATTATTTTTACAATAGACTCATCCGTTGATTTTTAATTGATTTTTAAAGTTGCAAATGCCTAAAAATAGGCCAGTCTACATGGGGAGGGTTAACTGCTGGGAGATTACAATCTGAGTTTATTTACAACGTTTATAATTAGAGTTTAAGCTTTAAGGGTTAACCAATTTTAGATCTCTCTTCAAAACATACAAAAAAAATTTTAAGAAAAAAAATTATTAATACATTATAGTCGACAGTATACAAACCTAATTTTACCTTGAGTGTAACATCAGTGCCTAATTCACATTGTATAATTTATTATAATTTAATAGTTTAGTATTTTAGTTAATTGATATAATTATTTTAATGAATAATTTTTATTAGATAATTGTGACCTTTTTATTTGATATACTTATAATGCTATACGTTTGATCTAGGTGATTATTACAGCGGTGCCTGGTTGGAGGTGATTGAAAAACAGGATTTGACCAAGGAGACACTTGAACAGTTATACAAATATACCGTTAGCTCCCAAAATTAGTCACACCCGCAACAGTACGGCACATTAGCCATTAATAAATTAACTGTTTCTCAATATTTGGGTTAGTAAACTAGCTCGTAATAATTTTTAATGTTTTATTAATCACATTCATAATTATAAATGATCAGGATCTAAAAAGACAGTTAAAAACGACAATGTGTCCAATAATAACATGCCTATTGAATAAAGTGAAATAATCTATGTTAAATCGATTATAATTATACTTTTAATTTAATGTAATTTAAAACTAAGATATTTATCATATCATATAACAATAAAAGTTTTAACAAATTAAATACATTGTATTTGCAATTAAAAAATTAAAACTCAATAATTCAATGATTAATATTTGTTATCTACATTCTACTGAAAATAATGTATAATTAATTGATTACACGTTTAAATGATAGATATTACCAAAATTTACACAATTAGAGTTAATTATAAAAATAAAAGTATAGTTTACAATGTTTTACATATTTATTGCCACAGCGTATTATCTTAGCTCATAACTGAAACCTTGTTGAATTTGTGGATATTACAATATATTACAAACACAATAAAACTCAATCAAAATTGAGTTAAAATATCTTAAACAAAGTTTGGATAATTATATTTACTTTTTACTAAATAGGATAAAACAGATAACCAATTTAACAAACAACAAATTAAAAATAAATGAAATTTTATTTTATAATAATATAAAATCAATTTTTATTCTTCATGCCAATTTTTCCGCAATAGTTTCGCCTTTTATCTCGCTTATTGATCATGTTCAGCAATTGGTCTTTTTTGTTTGTCACCACTCTTTCCACGATCACCACCTATACCACCACGACTACCACTACGACTACCACTACGACTAACACCACCATCACCACCATTACCACGACCACCACCATTACCACGACCACCGCCACCACGACCACCACTACCCGGTTTTCCTCCAGGATTATCATCTTGTAAATTTCCACCATCCGATCCATGATCTTTGCCACCACCACCATTCGATCCAGCATCATGATGATTATTATCATGGCTAGAGGGTTGCTGGGAATCATCCGAATTTGGGGCCGCTGAGTGACTATCCGGCCCCGATTGATGATCACCTTCTGACCCGTGGTGTGCATCGTGTCTCCCAGACTCTTTCCGTGGGTGTAGATCTTCTTCAATATAGACGCCACTCTCGTAACCCAATATATCCTCCGTTTTAGCAGCGCAATCGGGTTCATCCATACCATGAATCAAATAGCATATGTTCTGGCAATTCTTGCTTGAGCATCGCTTCCGAGCTTCATCCATTGTTTTAACGTTGCTATGCGCTTTGTGCAGGAACACTTTTGGCCGTTGCTCTTGATCGGGTGATTCGGAGTTCCCTTGGTCTCGCTTACCAGGTTTATTTAAATGGTCGTTTTGTTTGCCACGAGTAACAAAACCTCCTCGCCGTGATTGCACCTCTGACATGCTCGCCATTGCAATCACCACCATGATTGTTATAGATATTGATAATTTAATTGACATAGTTATAGTGATTTATTTATTTAATCATTTAATATTATGGACAATTATTTTATTCAAAATGGTCTTTATAGACAGTATGTTATTAGTTAAATAGCTTATTACTATTAAAAGTAATGTCTGCTGTTGTTAATTAAAATACATCACATATGTTTATTTCATTTGAATTATCAGAAATAGTATAAACGTAAGTGAAGTAATGTATTTCTATGAGAGACTCAAAGTTGTAATAACTTGAAAAGTTCATATCAGATTTTGACAAACTATATACCAAATTGTTTGGAATAAAATATGACTTGAGACGTATATCAGGATTTTTCTTGTAAATAGGGTGAATATGAATATTGTGGTATAAAGTGATAAAATATACACAATTGTAACTCTTTACCATTTAAAATCTACATGTTCAATTTTAATAATCAGGGTATCAAGTTGTTTGTAATTGAATGATACAAAAAGTAATTTGTCAGATTTTTGATTTTTTAATTATGACATCTATAAATCAATATAGAACAAATAGCTATCTAATTATTACAGTTTAATATTAAAATATTGTAAATTTTACAAAGTATGTCTTTTAATATTTAATTACGAACAATTTGGTACACTGATTGTGAAAATTTAACATTTAGATTTTAAATGGTAAGGAGTTATAATCATGTATATTTTATCACTTTATACCACAATACTCATATTCACCCTATTTACAAGAAAAATCCTGATATACGTCTCAAGTCATATTTTATTCCAAACAATTTGGTATATAGTTTGTCAAAATCTGATATGAACTTTTCAAGTTATTACAACTTTGAGTCTCTCATAGAAATACATTACTTCACTTACGTTTATACTATTTCTGATAATTCATTTTAATTATTTAATTTGAGTTAATATTTCAAATTTTTAAATGTTGTAATAAATGGAATATTTTGTAATTTACTTTTTATGTTTGCCCATATAAAATTATTGTCTCAACATTTTTGTAAATATAACTTTAAATAGATAAAATTATTATACTAACAAATTGCATACAATAATTATATTTACAAACATAATGTTTAGACTTAATACTGGTTAACGCATTAATAGTAAGTAAATCAGTATTTCACTCAATAGAATTATTAAGAATTTTTAAAAATTTAACAGAATCTAACAGTTGGTTATAGAATCTCATCATACTCACCATGGTCTGTAAAATAAAAATTCATGATTATATTAATGAATTTGTTGCCACCTTTAGCAAATTCTAGATCTTCATTCAAAACACACATAAAATTGGTTAAATATTAAAAAATCTTACACAATGCATATTAATAAACAAACTAGATAATCTTACTGTCTATAAAGATGTGCTCAACAATTACACAGACACCGAGGTCACTCTCGAGACAAGTAAAGTTTTGATTACCTAAACAAATTATTAATTAAAAATTAAATCATGATTGTTTTATACATACAGATTCTTCTATATGTTTCGAACGGAATTATAGGTTTGGCTCAAAAAGGTAAAAAGTGTAAAGGCCAAAAGGTAAAAAGTAAAAAGCCCAACAATCACGTCTATGTTTACTACATTGACCATGGAGCACCAGGTGAGTGCTTTTACAATTTAACTAATTTCCATAATATTAATAAACTAATTAAAAATCAATATAACTACATAGATCTAATTGCGTTCCCGCACAAGTAACTGTACAGTAAAAATTTGAACGGTGCGTTCAAAAAAATGCACCAGGCTAAAAAATACGCCAAACTCTTGGTAAACATCGAGGCCTGTAATTCAGGCTCGATGTTTGAGAAAGCGCTGCCCAAAGACATCAATGTTTACGTCACCACTTCGGCCAACTCTCAAAAGTCTAGCTATTTCAAAAACTACGACAATCTTCGTCATACTTATCTAGGTATAAATTACTAAAAAGGGAATATTTTATAGTTCAAGTGGCGTAGACCATTCTAATTGGTATGAACATGTTCAGTACAGTTCACAGATTAATTTAGTGTTGAAATAATCGGCGAATGGCTAGAAATGACCGAATTATGGACAAAATCCGAAATAAATACATAGCATCTAATGCATAGACTTGTGGTGAAAGACCTGTGATATGTGTGATTCACCATTTATTACAACTTTTCATCATTCATCATACCTTTAACGTTGCCTGAATTCAATTGAATTCTATATATAAATTTCGGATTTTGTCCATAATTAGGTCATTTCTGGCTATTCGCCGATTATTTCAACACTAAATTAATCTGTGAACCGTACTGAACATGTTCATACCAATTAGAATGGTCTACGCCACTTGAACTATAAAATATTTACTTTTAAGTTTTAATTAAGTATTTATAATTTTAAATATAATTATTTAATAACATTATGTGGATAGTGTTTAAATTATAGAATTTATTTTAATTTAATTGTTTATTATTTATTAGTTACTAGTTATTTGCTATACTTATTTTATAAGTAATTGTAATTAAATAATTTGCAATAATTGTTGCTTAATACTTATACTTTTACAATAATCTAGGTGATTATTACTATGGTGCCTGGTTGGTGGTGATTGAAAAACAGGATTTGACTAAGGTAACTCTTGAACAGTCTTACAAATATACCGTCAGCTCCCAAAATAAGTCACACCCGCAACAGTACGGCACATTGGCTATTAATAAATTAACTGTTTTTCAATTTTTGGGTTAGTAAACTATCACATAATAACTTCGACTATGTCATTATATTTCTTGTGCAATTATAAATAAACAGGATCTAACAAGACAGTTAATGCCTACAAAGCACCCGTCACTAACCTCAATGATGCTGTTAGCAGCAAAGATGTCCCGATTGCCCTTGTTCAAAAACTTATTAATAATTATCTTTTATATAAGCCAACAGTGAAAAAACAGTACGTGTAGTCGGAATGCCATAGCTTTGTCTCTGCAGTTGTCTCTCTCACACTCTATTTGCCTCTGATCGCTGCCTACAGGCAGAGCTTTAAGCAATACACAAGAACGCTATGGAAAAGGCCTAATGTTTGCATAGTTTGTTTGCAATTATATCTCTTTTAATGGGCAATAAACTAGTAATTAAATATAAAAATAATATAAACTTAATTAATACTTTTTCCACAAGAGATATGTTGCTGAATTAAAGCGACTATTGACTGGCCGTCAATATATGGACAAACATATCGCACAATTCGTGCAGAGCGTTGAACACATGCTTACTGTCGATGCCATACTCAACGACAAACACGCCGTAAACAACGCTGAATGCTATCACAAGTTTGTGGACAAATTTGACCAACAGTGTTTCAATATCAATCAGGTAAATTAAATTGATTAAAAATTAAATCCTCCAATTATTTTTACAATGTTTCTACTTATACCATAGAATACCTATGCTTTCGGAAAACTGCAAGTATTTGTGAATGTTTGCGAACAACTGCGCGAACCGAGCGATGCAAACATTGGTGTCGACTATTTAATAAAGTGATATAATCTATTTTATGGCACTTACGATAAATTAAATTTAATGTAATTAAAATCTAAGATTTGTAATGAATAATTAAAACTTAATAATTGTAATTAATTTGTCATAAAACACATCATCAATATAACAAAAATTTAAAATAAATAAAATTTTATTTTGTAATCTTATTAAATTAATTTTGTTTTTAGACCAAGTACATAATCTAGTCCTGATGGTTTTTGTGTTAATCAGCTGTTGACAGATGTTTTTTTTGTTTTATTTTTACCACCATCACCACCACAATTACCACGACCACCTCGACCACTACGACAACCCCCGGTACTAACATTACTACCACCATTATCACTATCATCAACGATTATGTTAAAACAAATTTTGAAAAAAATTAACAAAAAAGTATTAAACATCAATATAATTTTACTAGTTAATCTTATTAAATTTGTGTTTATTTTGGACTAAATATAACATGGTTTGTGTTTATCTTGTGTTAGCAGATCAATTGATACTTTGATTTTTTGCTCGAACGACTCGCTTTTTCATCATCATTACTTCCATGACCACCATTATCTTGTAGACAATTGTAATTTGATCTGTGTCTTTTTTCACCCGATCCACGATTGTTGCCATAACAACTTTCGCCTCGTCCATTATTACTCTCACGGTTGTGATCGTCGGAATTAGTATTGTTGCCCCCACCACCACCCGATCTACTTTATTATTGCTTATAACCTTAATTTAAATTAAGCAAAAAAAATACTATATTTACGATAAAATGTTTATATTTAAATTAATTAGTTTCATAAATGTTTATATAAATTTTTAATTATATTAATTGATTATAAATTAATACGCTGATTAAAATACTTTTGAGTCATACACATAGCCCTTTTGTGTAATTATTTAATTATTTAAAATAATTGCACGTATTATAAGTTATAATAGTATAAATTGATGAGTATATTTATAATGGTCATTTTTATTATTGTTTATTTAAAATTAATTTATAATTTTTAAAATACAAAATGTAATTCAGGCTCGATGTTTGAGAAACCACTGCCCAAAGACATCAATGTTTACGTCACCACTTTGGCCAACCCTCAGGAGTCTAGCTATGCCAAGGACTACGACAATCTCCGTCACACTTATCTAGGTATAAATTATTGAGTTTTAATTGAATAGTTTGCTTTTTTAAATATCGTAATTAAATAACATTATTTAAATAGCGTTTAAATTTTAAAATTTATTTTAATTTATTAGTATAGTGATTAATAATTACTAGTTATCTGCTATACTTATTTTATAAAAAATTTTAATTAGATAGTTTGTAATAGTTTTTGTATTTATAATTTGCTATACTTAAATATTTTATAGGTTTACAATAATCAAGGTGACTATTATAGTGGTGCCTGGTTGGAGGTGATTGAAAAACAAGGATCACACAGCGATGCTATACGTTAACCACTATTCGGGAAATGCATCAAAGATTTAAAAATTTTTCAATACTATTGTTAGAATACTGTCACTATTATTATATTGAGAATTTTAAATGTTTTTGACAACAATTAGTTCTATTTATTATGGCAGATTCATTTATAATCCCATTGATATACCATTACCCATGTTATCCCTATGCCATAGACTTATTATTGATTATAGACTCAGCATTACCCATGTTATCTTTATGCCATAGACTTAGCATTGCCCATGTTATTCCTATGTCATAGACTTAACATTGTTCATAAGATTAGCATTGTCATAGACTTAGCATTACACATAGACTTATCATTGTCTATAGACTTAGCATTACCCATGTTATCCCTATGCTATAGACTTAGCATTACACATAGACTTATCATTGTCTATAGACTTAGCATTACCCATGTTATCCCTATGC